ACACACACACACACACACACACACACACACACACACACACACACACACACACACACACATATATACACATAGGGGCTTTCATTATATATAGCCTTGAGTTTAATGTAAAATAAAAATTAGCAAGTTACATACTAGATGCAATAAAGTTGGCCACAGCCGCTTTTTCATAACATCTTTTTTAGGATATACCAACTATAGCTGCGTCGTAAATCAATAACTTGGCATGTTTTAAAGTTATTGCTTGAGCTATTTCATTTTGCATTTCCTGAAAATAGATTATTTTTTTATATCTTAGGTATACACGGACATTTCGTTCGTAGAATAATGAGCCCAGTTGGAATGAGAAAATGTCCTCTTCAAATTGCTTCCTTTCCAACATATGTGATATAATTGCGTCCAAATTTCTTTGTGCTATTCCAATCATTTAAGTGCGAACTCTACCTAAATGCCTACTTTATCTTCATTCAGAAAACCGGCCGCATACTTGTATTCGTGTCTAAACTTGCCTAAATTATTGCTTTCAGATATCTAGAAGAAAATACAAGTTACAATAATAGATATATTTATACGTTGTAAGAAAAGACTATTTTTTTGTCGCAACTTGTTCTTTATTTACTGAATTACATTAAAACTTTCTGTTTTACTTTATTAAATTTTATTAAATTTTAAATATATATGGTAGATCGGGGCATTATTCAATCACAAAGATTCAAACTCTTAAAAGTACACCTAAATTAAAAAAATTTTGTATAATTTTTTTAATGATTAAAACATAATGCATATTTTCAAATTTAATAAGTGTATTTAGTAAATATATATTTGTTAGTTTTTAAGAAAAAGATAAAAGTATATTTTTTAAGAAATAATTCAAGGTGGATATTATAAGTCACACAAAATAGTAGAATTATTCAAGAAATAACGGTGACAAAAGTTGAAAAGTATTTTCAGTTAACTTACACATTCTTAGCATAGTCACTATATATTAATGAAATATAATTACAATTATTATAACATAGGCCCACAAAAAAAAATATCCTGTGCTGGGATGGAGATCCAGCTATTCTTATGTATTTTGTATCGCTGAATGTGAATCTGACATCAAAATAGGACTATCTAGGATAAATGTATTCAATCTAGAGCAAAAAAATGACGAATTTTTTCCCATTTTGATCCATTTTTTATACTTAAGGCGGTCTTAAATAATAAACAAGACTTCATGCCCTCTCAGATTTCTTTTTGATTATGGCTATATATGATATGGCTATATAACTGTATAAATAATATACTGCATATAATATGTATAACTGCCAACTTCAAAAGTTAGTAACTTATCAGATTTATATTTAAATTAATATAAAATGGAAAATTACACATAATTTTAAAATAAATTTACATTTTGTATCAAATTTTCTAATTATATTTTGTTTCGCTGCAAATAATTTTTAATTAATACAGTAATGGCGAGTTATATAAAAATTACAGGTAAGTGAAACATTAAAAATAGTAGCGATATAAGGTTATGCGTGTTTTAAATTATATACTATATGGGAATATATTTTTTAAGATTTAAAATGTGGTCAGGCACCGATTGATTTAAACGATAAAATTGTGCGACGTACAAGATTTCCACCATTAATTTTAAATGGCCACTGGTTAAAGGATGGAAATGCAACTTTGTTTAATGACGGTAAAAAAGGTAACTTTATTAAAATAATTTTATTAACGTTATGTTACGATGATTAGATATTAAACTTTTTTGTCAGCAATTATTTTTTTGAATGGCGATAGGATCCCATCAACAGTATCTGGTGGGCCATTCATAAATAACGTATACGAATTTCATGATGCACATTTTCATTGGGGTGAAGATGATTGTAGAGGTGCTGAACATACGATCAATGGTACTTGGTAAGAATGCTTATCAAGTAACTTTTAATTTATGTAAAATATACAATAATGTAATTTATATGATATAATGTAATTTATATTATAATACATAACAATGTAATTTATATGATACAATAATACACTTTAATTAATTTAAGAAAAACAATCTACAATAATATAATTAAAAAAATTGCATATATAACTTTATCTTGTTCGAGTTTTTTTTAGTGTAACTTTTAATATATATCGTAATGAACTTTATCTGAAATTAACTTAGGTATTCCATGGAATGCCATTTAGTGCATTGGAATCAAAAATACCTTACTTTCGAAGAATGTTTAAAACATCGTGATGGTCTTTGCGTGTTAACTTATTTATTCTTGGTATATTGTTTATACATAATTATATTTTATTTTTTATTCATTATTAATAAATTCATTTCATAGGTTCAATCAGGATCCAATCAGTGGAACAATGTCAAATTTGAAAGAATCTCTGAAAATCTAAAATATATTCAGAATGCTGGCTCAGAGACAAATATTCCAGCAAGTTAATAATTCAATATTCAAAGAATAGAATGATATGTTTTATAGCGTTTAAAATTTGATAATATTTTGTTTAGATTCTTTATCTTGGATGCGAGTAGCAACAGATTGTCCAAGTTATTATATATATCAAGGATCCCACAGTGGAGATTTTAATTTGGAATGCGCTACGTGGATTGTATTCCCAGTCATTATTCCTATACAATCTTGTCAAGTTAGTTATTTAATTTGAATTATTTATATCAAATATATGAACGACAAAGATCACTTAAATTTTAACTTTTTTAATAATTATCTTCTTTTATATATTTCTCATTATGATATTGATACAATTAATATTTGATACTTATGGAACATTGATATTATTAGAAAAAAATATAATGATAAAACGCATATAATAAATATATAATTAATAAAACTTCCAGCTTAATGAATTCCGAAAATTAAAGGATAAAAATGGTGAATTTATAAAATTGAATTGGAGAAATGTTCAACCTTTACGAGGACAACAGGTATTTTTAGCTGTTTCTTAAGAAAAATTTATATATTGTTTTAAATTTAATAAACTACTACAGACCTAACATTTTTAATTTCTTATAACATTTTAACAGAAATTATCTAAAATAATTTTCCATTTTCGCAACATGCATAAATAAAAATAATCTCTTACATTATAATAACAAAATATGTACAATATATTTCGTATAAATTAATTATTAAATGTTTCGAAGTTTATTATCTGTATTTGAAAATAGATATGATACGTTATATTTTAAACTTTAACTCATTAAGTCTATGGAAAGAGTCAATACTGGCGCAAACTCGTTCTATTGCTTCCTCCAAAGCTTTATATATGCGAATAAAAAATATTTCTCTGTAAAGTTGTAAATTTAAACCGAAACTTTTATTTTCTTCCTGTACTAATATAGTTTCTGGTTGATCATTTAATGTTTTGTTACGTAGTTCTTGCAAAATGTTATTGGATCTTTGAGACAAAGACGTCAATTTCTGTTTAACTTCTATCGGCGTTGTAGGCTCTTCTCGTATTAGACTGTTTCTTTTCACAAGTTCGCTTTCATTTTCAAACAGATTTGCAAATGCGCATAAAATATTATACACAGCGTCATATTTATTATAATATTCAACATCGGATTCAAACAATCTTGGTCTGAGACTCTGCTTGCAAAGTTCGTTAAATCGGGCAAGCATGTCGCGTTTGTAGTTTGTATCTTCTATCTGTAAAAGAATATCTCGGAGAGAATCCAGCGACAAATTCCAGGTCAATGTGCTTTCATTGGTTACATCAGAATATATTTTCTGTAATTGCATTACGATATTCGAATGATAATGATAACAGGAATTCAGAGAGGTAAACAGGTCATTTTGTGAAATTAACATCTTATAAGGGGGCTCTGGTGGCTCACTATGCTCTACTCTATCTAAGATTTCCTCAATAATCGAACGTATTGTTGAATCTCGAATGCAACGATTCAGATATTCGTCGATCATTTGGTGATCGATCAATTCTATATTTCGAGTATCGGTTGTATAGCCCCAGAATCGAAACATAAACGTCGAGGAATTTAATTTTGGATCCGTAATGAATCGCCAGTATTCGGTGAAAACTCCGCACGTTTCGGACCGATACCATACTTTGATTTTCACGATCTGCCCTGGAAGTATAAGTCCTTTCGTCTTGTTGAAGAAGAACTGACTGCCATACTTCTCAAAGAACATGCCATACATTGAAACGGGCGAGTATCGCCAGTGATATTCTATAACGCGGGTTCCTTTATTTTCTAAGACGATCTCTTTTTCGATTTGTTCATCGGTCTTACTCGTAAAAGTCAGAGACCAAATAATAGGATCGGTGTCCACTGGCTCCGTTTTTTTGAAGAGAGATTTCTGCCAGACGAATTCTCGGTCTTGAATCTTTAGAATCACTGCCTGATCAGCGACCTTGTGAGACTCATCTTCAGATTCTGCAATAGTTATCAGCGGAATTTGTAGTAATGATACTTTCTTTTTCTTACAGCCCTTGAATACCCAATGTCCTTGAATAGCTAATGTTGCCATTTCTGGCTCCTTAGGCAATGCGATTTTTTCAGCAAGTTCGAGTTTACGCATCTTTAGATATTCGCTACGTTTCCAGAATTTCTCCCTTTTTTGAGGGACAAGATCACGTTCCTTTTTAATTAAGTCTGGTATTCCAACATGCATTAAATCCAAAGGAAGAGTCAAGTCCTTTTTGCTAAGAGTCAAGGATACTTTCGGTAGACAAGCCTTGCCACGATCTGGAAGGAATTCGGGCGTTTTCCAAAATTCCGGTCCACCACGATACTTATCGGTGACTATGGGTATGGCAGTATATTCCATCAGGTTTTTCATTTCAACGAAAGAGCGAAAATTTTCCGAGGAATTTTGTAGCTGTTCGCCCTGCGAACGTCCGGTAACAAATTCGATGTAACGATTTTGCTTCTTATGGTCGGCGAGCCATTTCTTCCAATTTATGAAGCTATGATCTTCCGAAAAAGATGTATCTCCAGAGAGAAGGTTATCTCTAGTTGTTACAAGTGGTTGACGAACCCTTTTCCAAATTCGAGGCTGCTCAGGTTTACCGATTTTTCGCGCAAAGTCCATTTTCAAATAACCAAAAGATTATTTCATACTTTGTTTACCTTTTATATTCAACCTTTTATATTCTTAGTCCTCTTGAATAAGAATCTAAATTTATTTTATGTACAAATCTGTTATTTTTAATTATAGTTGCCATACTTCTTCCTTTTTCTTTATAAATGAAGAAAATATTACCTTTTTTTCGTGATGCTAATTAATTATCTCAATGTCATATATCGATTTATTATTGTGACAGTTACGTTAAATAGATTAAACATGTAAGGTTATTAATAGGAATTTATCAAAAAAAAGTTTTAAAAAATTTATTAAAGTTTAGAATTAAATTTATATTTCAATATTTAAATATTTAATTTAATTGAAAATTTTAATACAGAAAGAAACTTATTTTAATTTTAATTAAAAAAGATTTCTTTTCTAATTTTAGTAGGTGAATGGTATACATGTCACGCACACATATATATATATATACACACACACACACACACACACACACACACACGCACACACCACGCGCGCGCGCACACATACATATGTAAATAAATAGTTTTAATATTATTAATTTACACCAGTAATATATAATGTATCATATAAGAAAATAAATAGTACAAATTTGGGGTCTCTTTTAAAAAAATTATTTTTATTTTAAATATGGAAAGTGCTCTATTATCGATGACGCTCAGTATCGATAAAATATTTGAAATGAAGTTCAGACGAAGCAAAATTGATGAAATGTTATATTGGAACATTTACATTTAAATTTATAAGTAATGCATATCACATGATATCAGCATGAATTCTTCGACAGAAGGTGGGATATATATATATATA